TCGGGTCCATCACAGGGAGATTTCCGATCGGACATAAGGGACCTAATGCAAAAAATTTGCAGTTTCTTTAAAGACAACAACGCACCTTTCCTCGTAAATATTTATCCTTTCTTAAGTCTCCACAAAAACAAACATTTCCCAATAGAATTCGCATTTTTTGATGGTCAAACAAAGGCCGTACGTGACAATGGAATATCATACACTAATATGTTCGATGCGAATTTGGATACATTAGTTGTATCGTTGAAAAAAGCTAGTTGTTCAGGTGTGAAAATAATTGTTGGTGAAATTGGTTGGCCAACAGATGGAGATTTATATGGAAATGTTACATTAGCCAAAAGATTTTATAGTGGATTTTTTAAGAAAATGGCTACAAAAAAAGGAACACCATTATACCCTGGATTTATTGAATATTATTTATTTAGTTTAACAGATGAAAATGAAAAAAGTATTTTACCAGGAAGTTTTGAACGTCATTGGGGTATTTTTAGGTATGATGGAAAACCTAAATTTCCAATGGATATTACAGGACAAGGACATGAGGCAATGCCTATTGGTGCAAAAAATGTTAAGTATTTGGAGAACAAATGGTGTGTTTTGAACAAATATGCTGAAGATATAGGTAAAATTTTCAACTTCTATTACTTTCTATTTACTCTTATTTTTGAAAACTTTACGTTTTTTATGATTTAGATAATTAGTAGGTGGTGGCTACTTTCTATTTACTCTTATTTTTTGAAAATTTACGTTTTTTATGATTTAGATAATTAGTAGGTGGTGAATGGCTGGGGCAAGTCAAATTTGGGTGGATCTGAATAGATCGAATTATCAAAGAGTCATAATCTGACGTGTTCAGAGTTTGCTTAGGTTAAAGATGTTGTTGGATCAAATAATTGGTCATAACTCAAGTGGTATGAAACTTACATAACTAGGTTTTAATTAGTTGCAATTTTTTGTTTCGTCGGATTACACTATTTTGATTATTTTTTTTTTATCAATAGTTTGATGAGTTTTTTTGAGTTCAACTCGTAGGATTATGAAGTCAACAAATAAGTCATAATTCAACTTGTTTAACTTGAGTGAGTTGGGTATAGCTAGCTAAGTTATTACTTCTCTCTTTTGTTTCTTATTTGGTGTTTCGTACTTTTTTTGGGTCTGATTAATTTGGAATTGTATGTAAAAGACTCTATCAATGACCATTTCATTCCTAGTGCTGGAAATCGAGATCTCTGATACTGTTTTGCTACTAATAATTGGTTTAGTACTTTCCTACTTCAACATATATATCGACTGATCCAAGACGTTGTTATATAGGTAAACTACCTTCGAGTGTACAATATGCTTGCTCAAGGTCAGATTGTACAGCAGTGGATTATGGAGGATCATGCAACAAGTTAGGATGGAGATGGAAATGTTTCATATGCATTCAACATGTATTTCCAAATGAATGGTCAAGATGTGGAATCTTGTGTTTTTGATGGATTGGCACAAATTGTGGAGAAAAATGCTTCTGTTGATAATTGCTTATTCCCTATTGGTTTGGAGAGTGTTGGAGTAAGAATTGGTTTGGATGCAATCCTTAACATTCTTGTTGGTTTCTTCCTCTTTTTTGACACTTCTCTAAAAGAAAATTGACAAATTAATTTCAATGTCATGTATTAGACATTTGTTTGGTTTGAAATATATAATTAAGATAAAGTACAACTACTAATATTTACTTTGTTAAAAATTTTAGGTGTCTCATTTTGTATGTATATTTATATTACCATAAGACACTCAAGTTTTGTTGTATGGGAAGGAATAAATGTACATAAACTTAAAATTTCTTGAATTTTTTTGATTTTTTTTAAAAATATTTAAGATGGGTCTATGCACTTTCTCTATGATTATTCTATGATATTGGATTGTGTAGGGAATAATTAATATATATTTTTTTAGAAAGTGGGTAAAATATTGGAACATTAATAATAGGAAGTAGATTAATATAATGGTTAATTAATTTTGGGACCAATATATTAGATAGTGGTAATATATATAAGTTTTTGTAGCATATTAAGAGTTTCTTATGCTTAATTATTTCCTATTCCCCTTCCCTTTCTCTCTTTATTCATTCGTAGATATCAAGTGTAATTCTTGTTGAAAATAAAAATACATGAAGTTTCAATTATATGTCACGTTCTAAAATATCTCCTAATTGACAGCTTACACACACCATTAACCAAGCAAACACAATTTTTATATCTTAACATAATTTTACAACATTTAATAAATCAAATAAGTAGCCAAATTAAATAATATGATAGTTAATTATGAAATAATTAGTATAGGAAAAAGGGTCATATTTGTCTTTTCATAATTGAAAAAGGTTTAATATTGTCCTTTGTTATACTATTGGTTCATACTCCTATATGTTTTAACTAATGTTAAATTAAAATTACTATTGATCCACATATGTTCTTAAAATGGCTCAAATTTTCTTTCGTATTTCTTTTCTCAAATTTTAAATACAACTTAAATTTTTATTAAAATTTTTTACCATCAAGAATTAATTTTCAATGAATTTTTTTTAAAAAATTCTCGTGATCAAACGGGCCGTAAGAATTAAGAAATAATCACACCTCAAAACAATAATCACATAACAAACCCCCCACCCCAGCGCGCCTAATTAAAAATTGGGTTCTTACATTAAACGTCGAGCCCATAGTCCCGTCGGCCATTCTCGCCGTCCGTCCTCCGTCGACCGTCCGCTGCCTTCCGTCCTCCGTCGACCGTCTGCCGGTGAAGTAGTGTAAGGTACCTTGCCGTATTATCATTTTTTTTTTTGAATTCAAACGTAATACAGGTTTTAGTTTTTCCTTTTTCCTGGGTATTAGCTCCCTGAAACTATGGTTACTTTTGAATGTATTTGATATAACAAATGAGTTAAACAGCGTGTGTGTATGTTAGTTTAAAGTTTTCATGTTTAAGGATGTTAATTGGTTTGTTGATAGATAATGCAAATATATGTTGATGTATACTCATATCTTAAGTTTTGGATGGCTTTGTAGAGTTTAACTGGCTTGTGTTTGGGTGATAGAGGGGCATAGTTTTTCAATAGATAATTATGGATTAAACTCTGTGTGACTGTGAATAATAACTTTTTTTCGAACAATGGTTGAATAAGTACATGGGGTTTCCCCAGCAGAGTTGTCATTCTGTCGCGCCCCATTTTTTCGAAAAAAATGGACTTTCCTGTCGGATGCACGACCTAACAACACATTTGGGCTTTTGCGTGATTTAAGAGTCGCCACCTGGCGAATTAAGGTAAAGGTACATTTACATGCCCTTAATCACCTTTTGGCTAAATACTTTAAAATTAATTATGTATTTAACAAGTTTATCGTCTATTGTAACTTATTTATTTGCCCGTGTGATCACATTTAATTATAACAATAAAATATTGTATATGCTCATTGAGGTGATTTGTTTAATAAATCATCAACTCTCTATTCCTAATAAAGCATGTATAGTTGATAATCTTTCTTTGCACTAGAAATGTGTCTTAGATATCATGCCTATAGGAGCTATGTAATATTTGTGATCTGTCAATCACCTAGAAAATATGTTCATAGGTGTTATTAATCAATTTCCAGCATGTCACTAATTCTAAAATAGCGTTTTAGGATCTTAATAAACTAGACTAATCAATCTGTTGTTGCAACCCTAATAATGTGTTGTTTAATCAGTAGTAAACAATTTTTCAACATGTTTAAACTGAAATAAAATTTGTTATGCATATTTTCTGTCACTGTTAAATAAATGTTGTGACATTATTATTTTTCTGCCACTAAAAAAAAATAAAGTTAATAAGTCACTTTCTGCTCCTTTAATTTTAAAATCTACCCCATTTTAGATAAACTACAATAAAATCAATTCTGCTTTTGTATTATGCTCGTAGTGACTGCTTTAAAACCTGCTTAAGTTGAATCTTTTGTATTATGCTCATACTTTGATATGACTCATGCTTACACACAACCCGGACAAAGTTTAACACGCTTACTCACATTTTAACAAAAAAAATAAAATAATACTCTCTTCTCCAAAAGAACAAGAATTCTGGATCACTCTTTGATTATATAATTTAAATTTATAAAATTAACATGATCAATAAATTAAATTTATTAAATTAAACTTCTGTTGATGTGTAGTTAAATTTTTTTATTATATATATATATATATATTTGATATTGATAAACTTTTCAATAAAATTAAATTTATATATTTAGGAGTTATATAATTTAAATTTATAAAATTAACTTGATCGATAAATTAAATTTATTAAATTTAATGTATTATATATATATATAAAATCGACCTCATTCGGTGAGTGATGATTTTGTGATATTTAATGACTCCCAATTTTATCGACCTACAACCCTTTCGGAAGTGCTATTCGATTAAAACGTATTTTCAAAACATATTTCGGGTTTAAAATTGTAATCGATTTTGGCTAAAATTATATATTTTAGTATGCAATAATTTATAAAAATTATTATTTAATTATTATATTTATCGATAGTTAAACTCGAAATAATTACTTTACTTATTTATTTAAATGTTTTTAAAATTTAGGTGTGTTTAATTATATGAAAATTCTTTAATATGTGTAATTTTTTATTAATTGAATAACATGTCCTTAATCTTCTCTTAAATCATTTAACTCGTAGCCTAATTCTAGTCCTTTCTTATTCAATATGTTTCAATTCTAGCTACTTCAATTCAAATTCTTTATTTCAATTATAGCCACTTGTTGATTCAAATTTAGCCTATTCTTATCTCAATTTTTTTCAAGACTCTAATTTCCATTTAATCTCAACCATCTATCAAAATTCGAGATCAAATCCTAGTCGTCCATATTCATCTAATCAATGGTCAGATTGAATCTTCCCCACTTACCTATTTTTCAATCTAAAAGACCCAAACCCTTAAATATTGTACATTTTTTTCCTCCTCTAAAAAGAGCAGCCGCAGCGAGGCCTCTCTCGTCTCCAATAGCTCCGGCGAGTCGCGCGAAGCGGCAGGCTTCGAGTAGCCGCCGCCTCCTCCGTTCCCCTCTCCTCTCCCCTTTCCGACTAACGAATTCGGCTCAGCCGCACCCCTCTCTCACTCCCGACCTATCCCAGACCGGCGCTGCAACAACAGGTCGCGCCACCATCCCGACCGATGCGCCGCCTCGATCAGCAGCAATAACAGCAGGTCACAGCAGCAGCGCATAGGCGGCAATAGCTGCAAACTCCGACAGCAGCTACAAACAGAGGGAGTATACATCAAAACTCACTGCGGCAGTGACGGATTAAGAGGGTAAGTTTATCTTACTTGATTAATTTTAATTCATTCTTCTCCAATCTATTCATGTGGGTCTTTATATCTGCCTATTTATATTTATATTTGCTGTGAAAATATAGACTGGTCAACGGACAGAGATTGACTTTTGGTGGCTACTCTATACATACATTACCGTAAAGCCAAAAATACTCATTGAAACGCGGCTTTATTTTTGAAAAGTATGTATTCCAATATGACTAATGTTAAAGTTTGAATTCCAAAAAGATATCTATTCATGTGGGTGTTCTTTCTTTTTCTATGTTGATGCTTGTTTTCAAATTGGCTTGCATTTAGGAAATAGGCTGTTGACAAATCTCGATGCTGCTGTGTGTTTGTGCCATGTAGTAACTAATAATTATTGAATCTTTTTCTAGTGTTGAAAGGGTTGATTTTGCGGGCTAGGCGACTGAGGAAGCTCAACATCAAAAAAGTTGATACAAGCTTCTTTCATCAAAGTAGGAGATAAGATTTGGTGTTTCTAAATTTCTAAAGTTGAAGTACAATTTCTTTTTATAATGTGTTTGTGTCCATCTAGTATTGATACTTAGTTTAAATTTTGTGATAATGTAAACTTAAATTTTTATTAAAAATTTTTACCATCAAGAATTAATTTTCAATGAATTTTTTTTAAAAAATTCTCGTGATCAAACGGGCCGTAAGAATTAAGAAATAATCACACCTCAAAACAATAATCACATAACAAACCCCCCACCCCAGCGCGCCTAATTAAAAATTGGGTTCTTACATTAAACGTCGAGCCCATAGTCCCGTCGGCCATTCTCGCCGTCCGTCCTCCGTCGACCGTCCGCTGCCTTCCGTCCTCCGTCGACCGTCTGCCGGTGAAGTAGTGTAAGGTACCTTGCCGTATTATCATTTTTTTTTTTGAATTCAAACGTAATACAGGTTTTAGTTTTTCCTTTTTCCTGGGTATTAGCTCCCTGAAACTATGGTTGGGACTAGTTTAAACTTGAGAATATGTAATTTGAAGTTGAATTGGGATTTTTTTGGATTTGATTTTAGGACTAGTTAGTAAAGTGTTAATTTGAAGTTAAAAATTAGTAATTGAAGTGTTATGAGTAGATGATGAATGTTTGAATGTCATGAATTTAGATGATGAATGTTTGAATGTTATGAACTTAGAATTTGAAGTTGAACTTAGAATTTGAATTGAAATTAGAACTTGAACATGAATTTAGAACTTGAACTTGAACTTAGAACTTAGAACTTAGAACTTAGAACTTAGAACTTAGAACTTAGAACTTAGAACTTAGAACTTAGAACTTAGAACTTAGAACTTAGAACTTAGAACTTAGAACTTAGAACTTAGAACTTAGAACTTAGAACTTAGAACTTAGAACTTAGAACTTAGAACTTAGAACTTAGAACTTAGAACTTAGAACTTAGAATTTAAAGTTAAATTTAGAACTTGAAATTAGAACTTGAACTTAGAACTTGTACTTGAAATTAGAACTTGAACTTGAACTTAGAATTTGAATTGACCGGGGACCGGGGACCGGGGACGGGGGAACTGGGAACTGGGAACTTGAACTTGGAACTTGAACTTGAACTTGAATTTTGAACTTGAACTTAGAACTTGAAATTAGAACTTGAATTAGAACTTGAACATGAATTTAGAACTTGAAATTGAACTTAAAACTTGAACTTGAACTTAGAACTTGAACTTGAAATTAGAACTTGAACATGAATTTAGAACTTGAACTTGAACTTAAAACTTGAA